CCGTACAGGTTTCTTCAGGGATGTTCTTCGATATCTTTCATTTTGTCCTGATGGATGACTGACGTGAAGATATTGTTTGTAGTTTCGTTCTTCAGTTTCTGTTTGGGTGTTGAACTTGAACTGTAATCTATCACCAACTTCTATGAAGACTTCCGACTTGATTTTGAAGGTTTCTTGCATTAGATAGTAAATGGTGTGAACCTACACCTGCTCCCCTTCTTCATCTGATCTCGTGTCCAGTAGGCTGTCTCCACTTTCTTCAGATTGAGATGAAGTCGATCTGATTTTCAGTGTAGTGTGTCCTGGTGTCTGGTGAAGTCAAATCCACGTCGCTTTGAGGATACTCTTGTGTTTGTAGACAGTACCTCCAGTCACCAAGTCGTTGAGTTCGCAGAAGTCTGCAAACAGTTCTCCATTATCGTTCATTTCACAAACGATTGCTTCTCTACCCATGATGAGTTCTATTCTTGTGTTGCCCACTCCCAGTTTGGTATTAAATCATTTCATCAATTTTTTACGGTTACACCGCATAGGTATGAAGTGTATATCTATTTCGTGACTTATTGCCGTCATCTGCTATAAGATCATCTCTCTTTCCATTATTAACGTCTTTCGATGTATATAATTAGTACTACGAGTGACTTATCGAGAAAAGGTTTCAAATAAATGTGATTATATGGAGTTTAAGACAATAATGTACTTATGTTATCCCTAATGTCTGAATAATTTTTACAGGTGCTGGTTGAAGTAATCACCTGAAGTGATAAGGAAAATTGAGCGGAAAAATGTTTTCGATGGCGTCATTCACTAAAGTTGTACAATCGACCTTAGAAGAATTCGAAACAAATAACAGTTTATGAATAGTAAATACGGTCATGTGATTACGATATTATAGAGTAGAATAAACTTTCTAAAGATAGACGTAAACTACACAGTAGTATATAGCGTTTAACAATATGGTAGAAGAAGGGACTACTACTATTGCATCAGCGCAAAGAGTTCAGACTTGGATCGGAAGATTATCAGTGTTCCTCCAGTGCTTAACTTACGGAACCGTACTCGGTTTGAACAGTTATGTCTAGCTTTATAATGCCGTCTTAGTGTAACCCTGTGAGAAAATACAAAAATGAGAAATAAGTTCCTGGTATCTATAGACTTGCCATTACAGCACACCAATTCATGTGTTCATTTTACGAAGGAATAAGCTTTTAAACCAAGGGGAAGAACTCCGATTGGGAATTTCAGTAGTTGTTAAAGTGACTTTTAAAACTGAGTTTCTCTAAAGGTCTCCCTGGTGACGACTGAAATAAAAGTCAATAGATCTCGCTATTTCAGTAGTTTTTTTAAAAATAAAGTTTATTACATAGTTATTAGGGTGGCATTTTGAGTCAGTTTTGAAATCCCTCCTATTTGCATGTGGATAAGTCACATGATTTGCCCTCCTGATCTTTATTGAGTACTCGTTACCTTTATTAACTATTATTTCTCTGATTCATGCTGACATCCATACATACTACATACTAGCAACGTGTTATAGTTCACAATCAATGAAGTAAATCAGCTAATGACCAAAAAGCTTTATGCATCATAACTGGCTTTATCTAATTCGCAGACATTCTGGAACCGTACCTTGAACGGAAAGAAAACAAAGGAGGATTAAAAACCTATTTAGTCATTCCATAAAATTGGTTTTTCGAGAAATACCCACGGAAATGAATAAACTAATGTTTTAAACTATAATTGTTTAAGATTTATATTTCGCTTTAATCGGTCATAAATGCATGCGAACAAAAAACGTTAATAATGTTTTGTTCGTTTTAGAATAACTTTTGTTGAATATCTCATCTACGTATTTAAATGAAAACTTATATACTTCCTGTATAGCTGATAATATTTTCCCAAGCAAACCTGCCCATCGACCTACCTTAGTACTGCAAAATGTTTCACTGCATGCTAAGGACCTTATGTCAAAGACGAAGGACGAGTAATGCACATGCACAAATCTCACTTCTATACGATATTTCTCATCCACTACTTTGCAACACTTCATATGCAATATTATATAAAACAGTCTTAGGGAGGTTGAGATTTTGGCGAGTTGATGGGGAATCGAATGTAGGGAAATGAAATAAAGTGACTAATGAGAAAGAGTTCAACTAACCTATTAACTAATTAACTGGTTTGAAAAAATACAGTTGTTATTGAATCCCTTCAAATGTCACTGGAAAGTATGTTTTGAACACAGTCTATAAACATATATGACACTGATCCGAATGAATCAAATAATAGCCTAAAAGATCAGAAGTTGTCCCTTAAAAGTGATTTTCGAATAATAAATTATTGATATATACACTTTTTATTCCTTTCTATCAACTTAACTTAGGTATTAGGCGGCTTTTTTTACTTCTTTCAATCCTAGTGATCAGTATCAACCAATCCCCTCAAATAGGACTGGTCAAGTAAAGCTTTTCTGGCGAGAAACAGAGGTTGCAGTAAATGCTTTCCCTAGTAAACGGAAAAACACTCATACCAAGTCACGTCCCGAATATCTCAGTGGTAACGTCTTTGACTGCAGTATTAAGTGGCACGGGTTAGAATCTCAGACGAGACAGTAGTTCCGTCGAGGTGTCAACAAGAACCAAAACCTAGGTCCACGATATCCCACCGATTGCCTCTATCCAACTAATACTGATGTCTTATTTGTTGTTGCTTGCGTTATACTGAACTAAATTTATCTGTCTCCTTTGGTATGTGGGCTCTTTTACAGATGCCTGGATATTGCTTAAAGTTTCATTTTGGTTTCTTAAACTACGAACTAGCCATTATACCTTGAGATCATGATTCAAGAATTTTTGTCCTAAACTCGAGGATTATATTTCCACCTCACTTTAGATTTCATTATTCCTAAATAATCTCTATACGGCACTGACAACTGCTCTTCTACCTGTAATTATTAGTTTGGATATTCGCTGAAATGTATGAAATGCATAATAGTAAATATGGCTAGCTTTTTCTATTACTTTTCTATGGCAGTGACGTGAAGCAAAATATTCACTGCTTCTTTACTAACATGCATTCTTATTATTATGATTATTATACGTTCATTGGGGCTACTGTTTAAAGTGTATTACAATTCACAGGTCAAATATTGATAAACTAGTTCAACGCTGTCATTTCGTTAAATACTTCTGATACGGTGTTCTTAACATCATCATTTAATCCACTATGTGATACATTTCTTTCCTAGTGTCGAAAGTGACTTTTAGTAATCAAAAACTAATCTAGTCAGAAACTAGGTCGTGTGGTAAGTGTTAATCATCACGGTACCTCCTCCAATCATTAAATGAATACAGAAATAAGAAGAATCAGAAATCGGGTGTCCTGTATTTGTCACCGTTATATGAGTAGATACGAAAGGAAATAGTTGAATTATGCCGAATAATTGGGATGCTGATGTTACACATACCTAACACTATGTCTTTTCATATTTGTAATAATGGATATACTACTCGATCATTGATTTACTAACATTATGAAACACTTTATGTAACTTAGAAAACCTAATGAGTTCCAAATCAGTGGTAGACAAAAAAACTGATCTAAATTTCACAAACGTCAGCAGTAATTCAAAAAGCACTGTAAGTTTAACAAAGGCTAGTGAATACAAAAGTGTCTTGCTATTCATATAGTTAACTTTTTTCAGCTCAGATTGTATGTAACGTACCCGAAGATTTCGCTTCCATCGTCGGGCCTTTTGAACGCTCAGTCAAGTGTGGGAAAATACTAACATTCAGTACGATAGTATTACAATAAGGGCTTATATATACTCAATACTAAAGCTGAAGACAGCTGATATTAACTAGATCTTTTGATTTAATAAATGATAAGTAACTCTAACGAGGCTTTTACACTTTGTGAACATCGGTTAGTTTCAGTTCGAAACATATTCAATACACGATCAAGCAATACAGATAAAAATGTTCACTGCTCCACGATTTCCACTGGTTAATTCATAATGACATGACATGACAATTCAGAAAGAAAATAACGTTTTTTTTTAAGAGGATAACTTTTCAGACTTTTATTCTTCCTAAACTGAGTCTGTTAGATAGCGTTTTTCAAAGTCATGAAACATATAAAACAAGGATATTGGGTTGAAAATACGATACACCTAAACTGTCCGAATACACAGGATTCCATCACAAAACACCCTTGTATTGAACTGCTTTAAGACTCAAAAAGTCCCATCCAAATTATTGATAGGCTGTATCAAATGCTGCATTGAAAACTCTAGTAGGTTTCAGGCTAATAGATAAATCTACGCAGATTGTAGCACAAAAGTGTATCAATTTAGATCACAGGACGTGAATGGAGGTTTGAACCCCATGACTTCATCTTTGTACAACTCATTTTTCTTTGTAGGTTTTGTGCAGATGAGCTACAGCTAGGCATCAAATAACAGTACAGAAGCTATTTTTTTTCACCTTGCAATCTAAGAAATCAATCTTTTATGCAGATTGAATGTTCAGTTGTGTAGGATTGAGAATATAGTATTTTTCATATTGTTACCCGAGTTTTAGAAGGAATTCACATCAGCAACGAATGAAAAGCACGATATCTAAATGAAAAGTTGCCTTTTTATTCTCTTTAAATACCTAATCAGTCAAAATATTTTTTTATCTGAAGAGCATCGTTCCATGTGTCTACTCATCAGCTCTAACTGATACAAATTATTCGCATTATTCCTTTTAATGATTTTGTAGGACAGGTTCAGTAGCTGTTAAAAGGTTAGCATTATTAGTAATTAAAACGGATTACTTTCACCCTATCCTCTTCGTTTTATAGTGCTTTGGTTAAAATAGAAAGTAAAACGATTCATTTCTTTCTTTCCTAACATCTTATGTGAGAAGAACAATTCTCATGTTTAAAAGAGTAATTATAATTGACAGAATACTGTTTATAATGAGTTACATAAATATCATAATTTATTTTTTACTCTTTTATTCACTACATATCTCGTTCCCAGGTGTATTCTTTGGTCTGTCCGTTTCTTGACGTAACTGCCGAAGTTGGTTTTTCATTTCTTGATTTTTTATAATAACCTAACAAGATAATAATAATAATAATAATAATAAAAGCAGTACTGGGAAAGGTTTCTGTAATACTAAAGTTGAAAGACTCAAAAAGGTGGATATCAGTGAATTGCTAACCACTGCTTAGCCAAAGAGTCTGGTCTAACAGAGGATTAGGTGTGCATACATGTAAAGGGTTAAAAGCTTGAGCGAAGCAACTAAGTAGTATTCTCTTACACTCATTGCATTTAACTTGGTTTATTAGATTTAAAGCGCAATGAGACGGTATTATTTACAGATAACACAGTTTGTTGTTCATAGTTATATCAAGATGACATCACAACTTTCAGATATGGTCTAGGCATGTGTGTCAGAAGCATTATTAAGTAATTAATACTGTGATGCATTTAATAAACCAATTATAATGAGATGACAGTCTACCATAGTGTCCAAATCTTACTCTTATACAGTTCTTCATCAGTTGTTAACTTAAGGACATTTAATGATTAAAAGCACCCTGAAAAGATTATAATGGTGGTGATGGGTGTTCTGGATGATTCTGATTTATAAATATTGCCTTTAAGTTTATCAAGCTGTAAATTAATCAGTTGATTTTGTTTATTCAGGTTAATGGCGTCACCGTACAACTCACCAGTTAGTTATATTTAACATAATTCTGCTTGGAATATTTCATAAATCTATGATTAGGGTCAGCTGAATAGTGAATGCTGGTTCAAGTCAACACAAAGACGGATTCTTAGTACAATGTTTCAAAAGAATTGCCTAGTTCAACTTTTACACTGAGTTACTTAGAACGTACCCAATTTTCACTGGGACGTTTGCTAAGTTATGATTAAAATAGAATAAAGTATGTGTCTAGTAGATTTCAACTGTCCGGAAACATCTTAAATTACTAAATTGATGCAAATTAAGAAAGAGAAGTATATTTGCAACTTATATGTAAATCAGAGGAAAGCGAGAGGATTACACATAGATATTCAATACCTTGATGAAGTTCCAACAGTTATCGTGATGATTGTGTTAAATAGGGGATAATGACTGGCAATCCATTAGTCATAAATACTGGTGACTATATTACAGTCCCTTCCGAATATAAGAATATTCGGTTAGCATACAAGATTGAAAACTTCGCATATTCAGCAAAAATTGTCCAATGAGCCTCCAGTTGTATGACGACTGAGGTTCAGTCTATTTTCGAATAAAAACGACAATAACTGTTTCTTATGGTTTTTTATTGTCCAGATCTCTTATTAACTGCATGGAAGATTCACTTCTCAAAGCTTTGTCCTTGGAATAACAACTCAAAAACTAGTATCCTCACTAAGTGACCAAGAAATTTCCTAGTTAAAAGATGAGGAAGATGTTAAAAACTTAATTTCGACTTTTTTTGTTAATAGAGATATGGAAGGCATGTGGATGAAATGACTAGTTGTATTGATCAATATGCTTATTCCTGCAGTTATATTATCCTTGACTAGTCTTTCATCCTTTCATCAATGCAGAAAAGGGATTACACTGAAGTGCTACTGTGTCTACACATTATGGATAATGATTATACTATGACTACAAGTTGAATGATAACTATTTAGATCAAACAGCAGTATACACTTTGTCATTCGATCACCTGGACTGAAAAACAGATAATGCATTGATCTAGATTTCCGACCATCACTACAACAAAAAGGAAAAACGCACTAAGAATAAGAAATATTTTTAAAGAATTAGAAAGATGAACATGAGTAAAATGAAGCGACAGGTTGATAAATAAGTGCCATAAATAAGTGGTTTATTTGCAGGAGGATAAAGAGTGAAATCGGTATGTCACTCAGCATTTGATCCTAAATAAAAAACCTACACCTCTCACACAAACTAATAATACCTCACATATGTATAATACACATATCTTAGGTTCTAAAAACGTGCACAACACAAGTAGACATTATCATACAACTGAGTTGATGGTATTTAAAAGTTATCTGGTTACTCTTTTCACTGAAAACTCAGTTACCGACTGAAAAAATTTGTGTTTCATTCAATTATTGTGAATACTGATACTAGACAACAAAATTTTTGGCAAATTACATTACATAAGCATGAAAGAAATAAGTCCATTCTATTTTATCAACCGAACGCCACCATCAACAACAGCAAGCTCCAATCACCATCAATGGGGGAAACTTAAAGGAAGTAGCCTCCTTCACCTATCTAGGCAGCACCGTTCCAACTACAGGCGTCACAGACGAATATGTCAAAGTCAGCCAGGATCGGAAAAGCAAGACAGGCTTCCACTAATCTGAAATCAGTATGGAGATGTACTCACTCAGCACAAAGAACAAGATCCGCATTTTCAACACCAATGTCCAGCCAGTGCTGCTATATGGTTCAGAAACTTGGCGTGTCATGAAAAGCATTCCCAACAAACTGCAGACAAACATCAACAGCTGTCTACGCTGGCTAGATGTTGAAGACCAGATGGCCAGAATAATAATAAGAATAAGTAACAAGGGACTCTTGGAACGAACCAACCAAGAACCTATCACCCAACAAATATGTAGAATAAAATTGGAGAAGAATTGGGCATAAACTGAGAAGGCCAACTGGGGACATCATGAACCAGGCGAGGCCGTCGAGTGAAATTCGAAGGGGAAACGACGAGTTGGGCGTTCGTGGAGAGGGTGGCATGGAGGAGATGGTGTGAGGAAGAAATGAGAGCTTCTGGGCTATCGTGGAGCGAGGTTCGAAAGACTGCAGAGAACAGAGTGGAATGGCGACGTGCTACTGAAGCCCTATGTTCCACTAGGAACCTAAGGAACAAATAATATATAATAATAATTTTATCAACAATGACACTCATTTTCAAGTAGTATTCAAGCGTTGTTGGTTTAAGAATGGATTCATTTGATTATTTACTCTTTCAAAGTAATTTATGTTGCGCATATACTCTTATTTTTTACGTTAAAATGTTCACTTTTATACATAAACTAATGCATTCTTAAAGGTAACGAAACAGATTTATCATTTAGCTTGTTGTAAAGTTGTGAAGTCTGTTAGAATAAAAATATAAGAAAATGAATGTCATAGGGAATTTTTTCCCTACAAAAGCATTCTATTCAAATTCAATGATTTTAATCTCACTAGTTGCTAGTTATTTCTAATATATTTTACAAGTATTTAGCATAATGTAATTATCACGTGAATTAACTTTTAATACACTATTATGGAAAACAGGAACATACTTCAATCCACTTTAAGCTGTTAGAAAGGAGAATTTCGAGACTAATTTACTCATTATATTTGTACAGAGGTTAATAAGTATGTAATGAACATGTTTGTAGTCCTTCAGCAGTCTTAAACAATAAATATTAAAGTTATTTCAAACTGAAGTTTCTAGCTTCAGTCAAAACTAGTACTTCTAACATATTATGTCACCACTTTAACCTCTTTCAGAGGCATTTCCCGAGAAGAATGCTGCCAAACGTTTTCACATTTCCGTTAGTAACTAAAGGAGCCACTTGCATGATAAATGTTGTTTGGCACCTTCAGTTTCTTTCAAAGTGTAGTGAGTTCCCCGTCAGTTCAGTGCAACTCCAGTATGATTATACAAGAAACCTACATTTAAGACCTTGTTTGCATATTTTAAGTTTTTCCTCTAAATGTTGTTCGTAATGAAGCAAGATAAGCATGATGCTAGCAAAGAAAAGTGAGGGTGCATGAAATCAACTAGTGCCAACTGTCAACTGAGTGCTCAGTAGTGTACATTATTAGGATGCAGCATGAATGAAGGACTTAAACAAAACTATTCATACTTCGATATTCCTAACACTTGAGGTTATTTAAAGATTCAGCTTTATTATCAACAGGGTTTCCTCTGGAAAACACGAAAATGAGATCAGTTGGAATTTTGTCATAAATCGACCGAACAAACTGCTTAATATCAATAGTCGTTAGAAATCCTTGGCATAACTTCCTTTGACTAACATCCGCCAATATTATCTAAGCATCTAGAATCCTCGATTTTGATTCCTGTCAAGATTGGTTGTTAGAATGTGAAAACTTGTGAAAATCGTTATATAACACTTGTGTTTTTTGTGATTACATTTCCTAATAAAAATGACAAAAGTCAGTGCACCTGTAGAACATCAACACTAATAAAATTTAAACAAAGAAGAACAAACAATATGACTTACATCTTCATAACTCTTTCTAAGACTATCATATTCATGCATTAATTTTGCCGTTCCTTGTTCACTTGCCAGTCGACGATCCAATAATCTAGCTCCAGCAGCTAACTGTGCCGTTTCTAACTCACTTTGTAAACGCTTTATTTCTAATTTATACTGCTGTAATTGGTTGTGAGATACTGGTCCCGGTGCACGTTTTAAACGCTCGTTTTCAGCTTGACTGCGCTTTAACACTTTTTTCAAACAAACAATAATTTTTTCCAATTCTTTTGGGGATTTTCCACTCTCACCGACCTAAAAAAGGATACGATGAATCAGAAGGAATCGTGATTAAAGTTATTCATGAGAGAATTTAATGAGAGGTTTCTACTAATAACCAATTGACTTTCCTCACAATGACACTGGATAAAGCACTAGTAGCATCTGAGAAACTTCGCGATGTCATACTATCTTAATTCAGGGCTGATCAGCAGTACATACCATCTATCTCACATAGCAGCAGACTAGAACTTTTGATTTTTCAAGTTGAAATTCATTATGAAATGACATCAGTTGGAGGAACATTGGTAACATGGAAGCATTGGACAGATGTTTTGTCCTAGTAAGGGACTTCTTACCAGTACACACTCATAACCCGCCATAGATCAAGCCCGGGACCTTCAGTTTCTGTGGCCAGGACCTTAGCATTGAGCCACTGGGTCGAAATTCAGTGGTCCATATTTCCTACTTCTGTCAGTTCACGATATAGAGTGACCATCATCCTAACAATGACTAGGTTTCCCCTATCGGCCACGACTTCTCATTGGAACTTTGAGAATCACCCCTCGAAATAATTCACCAATGAGTACTAGATCAATTGAATCTGGGAGCAAGTGTGTTAGGGATGTATCAGACTCATATGCCAAATATCCTTGACAGCATTTATTTTATTGTACAGGGAGGCCACTTTCCGATTCCGTTAGTGTGCATTTTGTCACACTCCGTAGCTTGTTGACATCGTTCAACAAAGTTTTCAAGTTGCTTTCAGTCGACAACGAAACATATTTTATGATAACAAATAGTAACTATCATATCAGATATTATTGTTAAACATAATTATCTGTTTTGATTGTACTGAATGAAATAAGTTGCCTCAAAGAGCATCATGTTTAATTTGTCTTCATAAAAACGTTTTTGCACAAATAGTAAACAAGGCCTATGGCTGAAAAACAGATGTGAAATATAGACAGTGATCGTAGTTCAAGATACAATCTTAAATGACGTGTCGTAAAGATGATTAGAGTATGACTAACTCAATGACGATGAGGCTAAATTAATGTCTATGGGAAGTTCGCATTATCAGATCATAATACCTACAACCAGTTGGTACTTTGTATACATATATGACAAAAATGAAACTATGATAAATACTGGTCCTATTTCCACTATGCTAGTTCTGCCTAGACCGGAAACTAGTTTCATTTGACTCAGGAAAAAGAAATAATTCTCAATATCATAATGCGACAATGTTAATATAAATATCTGAGTAAAACTTGGGCATTATGGCACATTGTTATTCCATTTTAGTCTATTTTTATTAGATGCGGAATAGTACCATTTACTGGATAACGTTATTCAGCGATTTATGTCTTGAAAAGTGCTATGCACTGCTTCTAACTAGTGAATTTTTTTACCTACGTGGTCCGTCTTGGTAGATAAAGACGAAAACTATTTACTAAAGTTGATAGGCTTGTTGTTGATTAGTTCAACAGCAATGTGTTGACAATAAAGTTACTGGTTTCTCAACAGAAGAGGAGACTGATTCGTTGAGAAAAAGAAATTTGGCTTCTGTGCTGCAGTTCAAACTGTCATACTCATTTTCACTCTTGTTCTAATCTACTTTCAAAGGATTCAACTGCTAAACTTTGAATTCACTTTAAAATCGGGAAACATTTTGAAGATGATTTGCGTAAAAAAGTCTATGAAAATCCATGCACTGAAGTTATTAAGGTTTAGGATTTCAAGTGTTATTTACCTAAGCCAATTACTCATTATCTCTTTTCATTGTACTACCATTATTGTTGTTTGTTTATTCATCTGTAGTATGCTTTATTTTTACTTACAACAATAATTTTCTATAATAAAGTGAATTAATTATTGTTTATACATGTAGCCTTAGTGAATAAGAAATACAATGAGAAGAATTAACAAGTGTTTCCAGAGTAACATCTTTGTCGTTGAGAGTGATCAGTTAGTATATAAATGCAATACTAGTTTCTTGGTCTACTCAACTGTAATGAAATGGATAAATGAACACGAAGGTTTGCGTAAACGCAAATCTTTGAGAAAACTGCTAGCAGATCATTCTGAACAAGAGGATAATGTAAAATTATTAAACAATCACAAAAATGATAAAGCATATAATCATAATTATAAAAAATCTGACTGGTCTTCAGCAAAGTATGTTTCATATGTTGACAATGTACCATTTGCACGTCGTAAAAAACCAGATTCCTGGTTGACATGTATTATCGAAATATGTATAATCTCCAGTGTTCTCATACTTGGCTATTTGGTTTATCAATATGCTGACAGAATGTATATACCAATTACAAAATTTTATGCTAATTTAGGTATTAAAGTAAGTCTTAAATGATTATTTCTGAGTGACATATTGTACAGGGTTGGAAACATTATTCCTCATCTTGTCACCATTATTTTCATTACTATTATGACTACTATTAATGTTTCTGACCACAAAAAGTGGAATTATGAATACGTTATCCTTCATAGCAGAAAAGGTATACGAATGGTACTTATGATGGATATAATGGCGGCTGTTATTACATTTCAAAGTTGTAAACCAAGTAGTAAAAAATAAACACAGCTACTATTGTAAATATCTCTATTGTGCAATAAAACAGTCCTACTACTAATGTTATAAAAGTAACATTCAGTTCTTTACAGGAATATATGCAGAAAATTGTTATCAAAATGGTTGGAATATAGATAAAAAATCTATTCTTACTTATGTAGTCATTCCTTCGTGTTACTTTAATCATAAATTTTTTTTAAACTTTCATTCATCATTTCAAGTGGAAGTACGATAACATGATATCATGTGAACAGATTCAATTCCTTAGATATTTTTCTGTATTTTTATACCTCAGTTACACCTGTTAAATGGTTGAATCTATTTTATGCTTCTCAGTCCTAATTCAATGATCTAAAGAAATTTATCACAAAATAAAATTGACCACAGAGATTAGATAACACTTAACAAGAAATTGCGAGTAAATTTTGATTGTTTGATCATTAAGCTCACAAAGCACGACACCATCAAAATTATCCTCCTGAGCTGCAAATATTCTTCATCATCTCAAAATTATGAGTTAATTTAGCCTTCAATAATTTTTTTTTTAACCGTGATGTCATTTGACTAATGAAATGACTATTGTTTTATTGGTTGCTTTATTAGTTGGATTTCTATCACATAGGTTATCTTAAGTGGGAAGTAGAAATTAGAATGATAGAGATATTTCTCTTATCGTCAATAAAAGCACGTTGAATAAATAATTAGGTTTTGAAAGAAATGTGTCGTAAAAATTGAATAGGTCGGCCTTTACTTTCTTTAAATTGGTATTCATTATGGGCTGATATCAGTTGAAGGAGCATTGGAAACCTGGGAGTATTGAACAGGTGTTTCTTCCTAGTATGGGGCTCCTCAACAGTGCGCACTCATAACCCCGCCACAGATCGAATCCAGGAACTTCAGGCTCTGCGACCAGGATGTTACTATTCAGCCACTGGATTGGCTTTCATTATGCAAAGTGATGAACAAGATAATGCATCAAAGTATACTGTAGTAACTGTCGAAATCACCGGTCAAGTTCCTCCATTTAGGCTGGAAAGGTAGTCCCTTTATTAAAGTGGAAAAGTTAACTGGTCATTCCAGTTATTGATAAAGTTGCATTCAGAGTTACTCGTGTCTTTCACCAATTAATTAGAACAACAAATGGTTTGCACATCAGTTGAATTATTAAAGTCAAAAATATTACTGGACACTTACACTACTTTAATTTAATAAACCAGTTTTAGAATCCTAATGGACGTTAGTTAGCATGAGTCACTACATTTCCTTTCATATTAAAGATATTCATTTTAGTTCATTGTAAATTGTTTCACATTCTTATGAGACAAAGAAATAAGTTTTTGAAGTTAAGACGATATAGTTAAGTGGAAAATAGTTGAAATTAGTATAATACAATGTCCTACATTACAGAACAGTGATGATCAAATGGAACCAACCAAGTTAGTTAGCTTTGTGACTTAGCTACTGAGAGTTATAGCGAAGATTTTTGATTGATTATAATGAATCAAGATGTGACCCTAACAATCACCCTAGCAACTTCTAAAAATGTGCATTTCCGTTTTTTAGTACGAAACTTTTTTCATCAAATAAAAAAACTAATTAGTTATTGCAGTACCTTCTGGAACGGTTTATAGGGTCACTCAAAACAAATAATAGGACTTTGTATCAGTTTCAGCTGAGCTTCTTTCATCTTGTTCCATGCATATGCAGACACAGCCTCGTCGTGCGTAAAAGGTTGTATTAATCAAAAGTGGAGTCCAAAGCCCTATAGAAACGCTGAATCCAGGGATTACCTTATAGAAACATATTAGCAGACTAGTGACATTGACTTCACTTACAGGAATGTCCGGGACCTAACTAATCATACTAGGATAAACAAGATAACTAGTAATATGATCTCTAATAATCAAATGACTACAGATGTGACTGCTTTCATCAAAAAGGAGAATAGTTGGTTTAATTCACTGATCTTTACTTTAATAGACAATTCACTCACCTTATTTTATTCTTTTCAATAAAATTTCAGTGGTTGTGAAGTAAGATAAAAATTATTTGAAGGTAGAATCATAATGAACAACAATGTTGTATTGTCTTTCCATCTATCTTAACTAACTCAATCAACTTGCTTTTACTTATACACTTGACTATCCTTCAGTTCGTTGCTAAATATGTAGTGATTTAGGCTGAAATATTGTTGATTAATTCTTACGTAACTGGAGTTAATAAGTCATTCTTTCATCTTCCTTTTAAAATGTAGATTTTAACCCGATCTGTTTTTTTTATTACACTGCAATTCGATCAACATTTCTAGCAGCCATTGCTAACTTTTGTTATGAGTTATACTCAATAATCTTTTAGTCTCAGACAAATAATTGACGGAAACACATTTTTAAGCAGTGAATGATCCAAACTAGCTATGTAAACTGCCATTTATTTCACTGAT